AGTGTCCACCTATATTCCGTGGCGTCCCATTTCCCATTCCCATGGCGTGTAAGCTCAACCTCTCTCTCGTCCTCTCTCTCTCGCCCTCGTTCACCCTCCACCCACTGTTACATTACATATACGTAACTTCCCTCCCTCCGTCTCTTCTTCTTCTCTCTCTCTACGGGCCAGATATACCAACACGGATCAGCGGCGTGTGTACGTCGCGGGGGTGGCGAGGGTGGTTGGTACAAGGGAGAGCGACGCGGAGCCAACAGAGCCAGGGAATGCACCCCGTGGAAGAGGGAGACAGCCGTGCTTGCAGCCAGAGGATGCCAGCATAGAGAGAGTCTCGTGCAGCGACGCCACCGCGCGGTATGCGATGCAACCATACTAATCCGCCGATGGATTTATGGTCTTAATCACCGGCGGATTATCTCGGACAGCCGCGCTCTGCTGCCACCGACCGAAACATACGCCTGCCTCTTTGCAGATAACTGTACCTAGCTTCCCATCCCCCTTGGGCTTCCCTAGCTTTCTCTCTCTCCCTCTCTCTCATTGTCTCTCTCTCGAGTTTTCGACGTCGTCCCTCCGACTCTCTCTCAGCTGCCCCGGCTGTCTCGTCCTCTTTCCCCGTTTCTCAGCCTATGATGTCTGGGATCTTTTATCCGTCGCCAGCCACGAACCGATAGAGCGCCGTGAAGGCGAAAATCGAATCCGTCGGCCGGATAGTCCCGAGCAAGATTCTTTTTCAGTCCTTCCGCTTAATCCTTGTGTTGATTACCGAGCAAACCGCCCCTTTCCATATCTCCTTTACAAACTTTAACGCACTCCTGCGCAGGCATACTTTAGACGATCTATTTGCGTTTTGAAAATAACAAATTTACGAACTACGGGGACTTGAAATATACGCTTCTTCGATCACCCGGGGTACGAAGGTTCTGGTCAGATTATAAACAGTCGCGTAAGAACGTTTTATCTGTAAATTGTACACGATATTTGTATCGAATCTTTGAAAAATTTGCGTTTTAATATTTACGAGGAATTTACCGAGTAATCGCAAATTCATTTACAAGATACAAGAATTGTCGTCCATTGGAAGTAAATAGTTTCAATAAAAAATTTGATATCGTGTACAATTTACTGATAAAACGTACTCGTGCCATTGTTTACAACTTGCTGTATGATCTTAATACACTTCGTTTTCATCCATTGTTATATAGTCTCATATTTCCCCTCCACAGATTATTTATTGCCCGCAATATACCACGTTTAACCCTAATCGTACCACAATCTGACTCTCACTTATTAGAATCATGGAAGTAATTAAAATGCTATTGTTTCTGTTTTTCAAACAAGCTGTATATAAACATATAATATTATATACAGGCCATATAATTTTTGATTTCGAATTATATGAAAGGATTTAAGGATTAAGTCCCTTCCTAAATATGTAATGGGCTTCAAAATAATAAATAAAATTCGCGTCGCGACTCATAGTACGACGAATTTTTTCTTCAGCCATTTTTCTAAAAGGGGCTTACAACGCAGGTTAATTTTTTATGCAATAAACGCCGGAAAACTAAATAAATCGATAAATAAATATCCATTTTATTACCACAACGACTATCAACTGAACATAAGCTTCTCACGTGTTGAACTAATTGAATACATACACCTCCCATTTAACAGTGCCTGTATGAAACAATATAACTGTACTTCCTGTGGTGCACGTGCAGCGGCAAGTACTATAATAATTCTCACATGATTGCATGCAAGTTAGAACATGTAACGTAATAATATACTGAGTGGCTGTGAGTCACATCGTGGTATAATAATATACATTCTGTGAAAAAGGTTAATTTTTATATCATGACTAACTCCAAAACGAATACTTATTTTTTCAGTATTAGTTGTGGCAATTTAAAGTAAAAACCCCCAAAATGAAATAATCAAAAAATTTAAGTTCAAAGTTCTAATGCGACTCAGAGCCACATCGTGGTACGATTTGAGTTAAGGTAGATGTTATTTGCCCCATGACCACAAGCCACGAAATTATTAACTTTGAAATATGAACGCGTTGGATTGGAAAGTGTAACGTCTTCGAGCAGGACGAAATCGTCCGTGGTCGTTGAAAGGGTGGAGTTTTCTGAATCGAACCGATTACAGGTAGCACGCTGGCTGGATTCCCATTCAGATTTTATCCGAAATGCCGGGGTCAAATCCGCGGACAAAATAGATAAGCTTCGACGCGGTTATCGGCGAGCATTAAATGTTGCATCGGGATTAATTAAGCGTAATGCAACGACTAGAACTGACTAAATGCGCCCGCAATCGCGACCGAGCGCCCGTAAATTTCCGTATCTGGAAGTTCGCGTGTTGCCCAGAAATTTCCGAACGAAGAATGACACGGTGCAACGTCACGGTTCGACGAGTCGTACAACTATCGCGGTTCCGGTCGGGAACGATTATGGCACGCGGTGGATGGCGAAGTGACAGGAACACGACGGTGTCGATTATGGTTTTCGAACCCCTGGGGGAAAAACGATCGTAGGCCTGCGTGATAAGGAAATTCTAGGAATATTCTAAATTACGTTCATTTTTTAAAAGTCGATAAAATCTTAGTACTGATTTTGTTAATATGCTTAAGTGGAAAAGAAGCTGGGAGAATCGAAACATTAACTTTCGAGTGCCATATTTTTATTTATCAAGATTCTTCTCCTTCATACCTCGATTACACATTTTTTGGTATCATATCAGCCATGTGGACACGTTTTTTCAAGGGATCTTTCTTTTCTGTTAAAAAAATACTGTCTACAAAGCAGTCTTTCCTTTTTAAGAAATATCAAAGGCCTAAATATAACATGTCTAGAATAGCTCCTCGATGTAACAACGATGATCTTCGAAAATAGAATTGGAAAATTACGATCTGCAAGTTTTACGGGGGTCGAAATATTCAGTTCCAAGGGGAGGAGGGGTCTTAAAATAATATAAAAAATTCGCAAGCGCGTCCGTGGGTTCCACGATAGTCGGGATCTGCAGCATTTTGGTACATGGCGTATAGCACCGTGGCGGGAACACCGTGCCATGCTCTGTGTGGTTCTATAAATCCAGGAGGGCTTACCGGCGCAAAGCTTCCCTTGTGAGCTGCGCAACCCCACGTGACCTCATGCCTGGCCACTTCCATTCCCGTTTCTCTTCCACCCCGATCTCCGGCGTTCTGTCCAAGCTCTTGTCTCGCGATATGACCGTTTCTAAAGGTCTTGCTGAAACGCACGGAACCGCAAGGCTTGTCAAGTCGTGAAACATGTCCTGCCGCTTGATCCGGCTCAAACTGCGGAACAAGCCGCGGATTCGCCTTGTTTGCTCGCGTATCTTAACGTAACTCCGCGCCAAGAGTTCATCCGGCATTCCGTGGCACCGAGATCTCTGTTACTTCTCTCTTGGAACTCCTTTGATCCACGAGCTACGGTTTCCGGTGATCGCGAATGTGGGAAAAGTGCGTTGCAACCGACCCGGAGAGACCTCTCCATTCGGGGAAAAAAATCCTACTTTATACTTTGTACCTTTCAACAGCATTTTAGTACATTCTTTTTCTCGATTAAAAAACCAGTTACGCAATTTGTAATTTTACAAATCTTATGTGCACTAAAAGTTGTAATGAAATCAACTGACATATTCTCAGTTATTATTATTAACTAAATATTATAGAATAATAAATAATTTTATCGAATGATCGCAAACAGAAATATACCGTAATGAACAGAGAAAATAATTGTAGCTCGGTTATAGTTGTATTGTTAGTACGCATCGAAATCCGATAATTTTCTCAAATAATTGAAAACCGTCGCTGGTGGTGTTATTTTTGGTATCTAACGTTTCGAATGGAGAGCTCGAGAGTGTTTTTTTCTCGAAATTATCGGTAGCAGTAGGCGAAGGAATGCCATTTTCCGGAGACGAGCCATGTCTGCAGACACGGTACCTCGAGGTATCAGGCAGGAAGAGCATGAATTGTTGCCTTTGTAATCGATACTTCAAGGCATCAATGCGTCCATTGTAGGTTTCTGTTGCTACTTCGATCAACTCGAATCGAGAGTTGCTCCGATTCGAGCTCGAGCAGGGCGGCCGCGTTACCGACCATGTGCCGGCGAATTTTTTTCGCAACGGAAAACGATGAGTCGCGATCGGAGCAGATAAAAGGCGTTTCCGTTAGTACGAAATTGTTTGTCCGAAATCAGAAGTATGATCGATAGGGGCTCGTTCGATCGGCAGATAACGCGACAAGAGCACGATAGCGGTGTCTTTCGACGGCAACAAAATTTAACAACCGATATCGAGAATCGACTCGTTTTTCGCTTTTTAATCGAATGTAATTAGTCACGAACCGACGTGACTCAGTAGCTTAAATCGATGAGTGTCTGATTCTCGTTCCGTGCGATCCTCCGAATAAAATATCATCTTAATTACCGTATTTCATTGAAAACAAAAAAAAAAAGAAAATAAATCGTATTCGTGCGATTATTAGGCTCGTTTTGTTTATTTGAACAGTTACACGAATTTTTCGGATCTGTATCTTAATCGCGGTTTTCGGTCGAGTTCCAGTAACTGATAATTTCTATTTGCCAACAGTGGTAGACAAATTGTAAATGTACGGCGTGAAATATATCGGGAAAGATCATTGGATAGATTCATAAGTACAGATGTAGACATAACATGTATGTGTAAATATATACTATAGATTACAAGATTATTGACTCTGAAGTATCGCGCACGAATGTTACCATCATGTTTCTTTTAATCGTTACTATTAATTATATCGATCGATCGATAATAAAGTCCAAAAAATAAAATAAAAAAACAATTTTAATTTATTCTTTTAGATACGTTATACAAAATTTTCCTCGGTCTGAATGGCTCTTTAATGCATTCGTAATGGAGGTTGGTTCACAAACGAATATAAAATTTGCTCGACCCTGCTCGTAATGGAATTAAGATTCGATCGTTAAAATATTGTCACTCACCCTGACTCGAGCTTCTTGAAGATTCATCCACTGTCCCAGCTCTTCCCTGGTCGGCATGTCTGGGTACCGATTCCTCGTGAACAAAGCCTCCATCTCCTGAATCTGGTGCGTCGTGAAATGTGTCCTCTGCCGCCTCTGGCGTTTCTTCTTCTTTCCGTCCTTATCGTCCGCGTCGTTTACCCCGACCACACCAGCGGGCGAAACTACCCCTCCGCCGGCTTCCAATTCGTGTTTCACTTCTGTCGGTGTCCGACCACCTGAAACGTGTTAAGATATCACGTTCTTCACGAAACACACACTCACCCTACGGAAATAGTACGTGGTAAAATAATGCCAAATGACCAAAACGCACCTCTATCCGGATAAAAACTTTACATTTTATCATTGGCGCAGAACAAACATATCAGATAAGTTTTATTTCACAATTTTCTTAAATTATTACTCGCGAAAAGGACTACACAATATCACGGTGAAACGTTGCAAATGGTTAATTACGTTAATTATAGAATATTTTTAACCATGCAATATACATATAAGACTAGCACGAGTCGATTTTGCGCGATATCCAAACTATTATTATTATGCATTACATCACTTTGGCGCCTTAAAATCTCGATAAATATTATTTATATCTATTCCTGGCCGCGATAAAAATTAACGTGGCCGATAATGAAAATATTTTATCGCCGATAAAATTGATCGCGGTCCTCTTTTCAACCTTTCCTTTCATCACGATGTGAAACTTTACATGATCTGGCGGAATTAAATTGCAAAATAAATTCGAAGTAGCTTCATAAAGATTCTGATATTTTTGTTCAAATAAATTCTATTCGCGAAAGACGTATGCAGATACATGCACAATATTAATCGACCACACAGTGGCCATTTTCTCGTGCGATCTTTTCATTATATTGGTTTATTTTTAAAGCCTTGTTTAGTGTTTAATTAAGGAGTTTTGATTTGTAAAAGTTTGACGAAATGAACGAAATTGTTAAAAGAGGGTCGTAACCATTTTTCATTATTTCTTCATGTTAAGTCTGCAGAGATTATACGATCCGAAGTTGTTGAAATTCTCAGACGATTATTAATATTTCGAACGTATCAAAAAATTATTTATTAATGGAAAACGTATCCCGCAACTTCCTGTAATTAAATTCTCATTCGAGGAATCGTATTTTGAAACGTCTGTAATGGAAGCACGTAAATCGACGCCGAATGATCGTAGATCGTTCGATCGTTAATCTCTGCTGCAACGAGGCTGTGCCCTGGCTGTTGGAGAGTAACACGAATGCGTTTGTCATGAGTGTGACAGTGACAGGTGAGGACGTATCACCCCTGACTCTGCATCAGCGAATCGCCAGTTTCCCTTACCAGCCATTGACAGCCGTGTGATCGATCGCCTCCTTTTTCAAAGAGTACCGCTATCACTGCCTCTGATGATGCCGCTAACTATCTCCCAGGTCGGAACGACCCTGCTATTTACAGAGGTGCCTAATCGACATAAGGTCGCGCCGATATCAGTACCGTTCCGCGGCGAAGATCGTTCGATTTCTCTATCGCCATATTTCAATTTGTTCAGTATTAGCCCAATCTACCGCCTTGGAATATCACGCTCGGGATTCTACTATTTTAATAAAACCAGACGTTCAACCTCCCGTTAAAGGCAAGCCGCAGACCTTGCGAAGCAGCGATCATTAATTATTTTAAACCATTAATTATCTACCTCTAAAGCTCCTGGGGTAATTAACTTGGGAATTCTTTTTTTTTTTTAATTCTCACTGTTTGGAGGATCATTTATTGGGCTTGTGTTATTAAAATTGCGAAAAACTCTGTCGTTTTTACCCTTATAATGTCGATGTTGAAGTTAAAAGAACCCCTTTCTATTACGAAAACACTCGACCATATGCAGCGATCGCGACTCGAAACGAGGCCCACGATTTGAACTGGGAAGTAATTAGTCATCCGCCATATCCTCCTAAGTTGACGTCAAAATTTTTTAACCGTCGGACGGAGGAAGGTTCGATGGTAAGACGCAAGGGGAAACCGGATCCACTGATAATACGGATAATGGAGACTGCTTTATTCTTTTCGAATATTTCTTATTATTTATTCGCGTTAGCATGTTATATAAAGATAAAAAGAAGGGCCTCAAAGAAGGGCAAAAAATTGAAATACTATTTAGTGAAAAATAGGGGGTTTATTCCACTATTTATAAAACAGGTTCCACGCAAATAAAGTATTTTAACTATGTATCTAATTTGTTACATTCAGTCGGAATCATTGCGAACTTTGAGGTGCTGATTTCGATATAACACATCGTAAATATTAATCATACAAATTCCAATGTTGCTCTCAAGTCTTTAATATTTCTATTTACAGTTTCTAAGGGTGCGTTATCGAATCTCCCTTATTTAAATTCGTTAATACATCATCGAGGTGTGCAGTTGCCCCCCGAATGACAATTGTAGAACGAACGTAGGATAATTTATCGAGAGGAGGTCGCGGAAGTAGTTCGCCGTGGCCGATGGGGAGTTTTGAATCCAGGCACACTCGCGGGCTTTAGCGGCAACAAGAGGAACGTGCTGGACTCGCGCAAGGAGCACGAGAGGCCTCGCCCTCGTCTCGGGATTACAACGAGTGAAGTGAGATCCGTCCCCGGGGTTTGTTGTTAACCAGGACCGTAAGACTCCGGAGAGATATTTCAATTTGCGGGGATTTGGGGCGGCTGTGAGAGCGTCGGCTAAGTGCCGAACAAACGTGCAAACAAACGACGACAGCATTTTCCTCGCCTTTCTCCTGCTGCAACCGACGACACTCTCTATTATCATTTGATTTCAGAGCCCGTGAGAACGGGAGACGATCGCGTTCCACGGAATTTCCTTCCTATCCTGTTCTATTGACTCACCGATCTTTCCGCAAAAATGACAAAAGTTAAGAAAAACACGCCCCCGGAATTTTCACAGCGTGTCTTCGATCCACCCACGAAAGCCACCCCTTACGATCCTAATTTCATATTATTTTCTAAGATCAATCGTCTTTTCTCCATTTGTTACTCTAATTAAATGGCTCTCTAATAATTTAGAAACATGATATACGTAGCGTGGAAAATATTTGGTCACGGGATCATTTTTTAAATAATTACAGAAAATGTATTCGAGTAACACGCATCTTGACAAAGCTACGGATTTCGAGGATCTTTCGAACGGTCGATAAGAGGTTTTGTGGGGGGGCGATAAAAAAGTTGTTCGTACCTTTTCGGATGTCTGGCCTGTGCGTGGTGTTGGTGCGGGACCTGGACTGAGCGGTAGAGAATCCACCGGAGGGTGTCGTGGGTGTCGCACCCGGTGTGCTGGGGTTGCTTCCACCCGGGGTGTGAGCTCCGTGACCCGTCGAGTCGAGCCTCGCCAACCCCCCGTTCGTGTCGTCTCTGAAGTCGCCTTGCGTCCATACTGGAAAACGCATCACACCTTCTTGCAACGTCGTCTAAGCTCCGCCGTAATCTCCACTATTTACTAACTTATTTTGTTATTAAGCCGGGATTTCGCGCAACCACTTTCGCCGTGTCGGAACGAGGATGTAAACAGTCTTCGTACACGAAACTGTAGCTAATAGCGCCGGATGTCTGAGACCCGTTAATTCGACCGCTTAATTCTTGATCGTTCAATTTAACGTCATGGCTACATTCACCTATGAACTTTACACCACGATTGAAACTAACCGCGAACCACAATGTTTTCGTATCTACTTCGTTTACTCGTTACTGCATTGTACTTCGTTCCTCGACTTCATCAAATTCTCAGTTTCTTATAATTTATACTTTTAATATGGTAAATATTAAATCGAAAACACCGAGAAAATAACGCTTATCTGGATTTTATAATAAATAAAGTGTTTTTATTACTTTAACACTAGATTTACGGAAGTCGTCAATTTGACGGATGTCAGATTCTTTTTTAACAACTTATGTTGAATTTGTTTGATGCAATGGCATGAATACATATTCTAATTAAAAGAAAAATCGTATTTTAAGGTAATCGTCAACATAAAAGGTATCAATAAATATGCGTTCGATCAGTGCCCGTAATTCTAATGTTAAATACACAACACAATGGTGTCGATAAAGTAAGTTCTATGTAAGATACAACATTATTATATTTTTCCTATAGAATTGAATGTTTAAACCCCCCCAGTAGCTGCGAATGCATCTGTTTGCCGCGTTCGAGAATCAAACTATTTTAAATGCTTCTCTAAAGAGATACCTGGTGGCCTATTTCAATACACCGTTCGCATTTGTCACGATGATTTATCGGAAACGTTTACACGGAGACAACGATTTTGCCGGATATCGTGTCGCTCGCGAATAATATCGGAGTAGATTCGAAGTTGCGGGATCTTAAGGCGTCGACAAGAGCTGTGGGTGGGCAAAGAAAGTTTACGTGCCCAGGGAGTCTCGTCTATTTTCTCTTTTAATCGCGAGTCCCCTCGATTTACTCAAGTCTGTCCGCGACCATTTTAAATATCGCGCGGTCACGCGTGTACTTTTCAGAGAATCGTCTTCTAAATTTTTCGCAGCCCCCGCGAACGCGAATGTTATTTAACGCGACGATCCATCGCGTGCACGATCAACTGAGTGTTCTTTTTCGAACTACACGTGTACACGAAACTAATCGAAATCGTAAAAAATGCGTTTTACTCCTCGTTCAGGAGCTGCAGTAATTTATTAGAGGTTTTTGCTTGAATTATTTTAGAATAGAAAATATTTAAAATATTTACAGACTTTAAACACTGTACTATTTTAGTAGAGATCATTTGTAACACACAATTTGGTAATTTTCTTTATTCTTAGAATTCCTATCTGTTATTCTTATGTCTACTGTACAAAATATTATAACTTATGAAAAATAAGAAACCCCTTTTGTTCTCGAATGAGGGCAGCTATCACGCTTCAATTATATCATTTAGTTACATCGTTTTAACCCTTTGCACTCGTCATTTATTAATTACATTTCATATTTTTCCATGGCGTCGCGAGTAGTATTCCGAAAAGAGTGAAAAGGTTCAATAATTCAAAAAAATCCACACACGTTACGATGGTCCAATCGCCAAGTAATAAATCCAAGCTGCTTATTTTATTCGCGCGTTAAAAATATTTATTTGAGACTTTGGAATTGGTCGGATCTTAAATGGATCACTGCGCGAAAGTGGTTCGATCGATCCTTTTTGTTAATTCGCGAAAGAACACGTCGAAAATGGTCGTCTAGACGAGAATACCCCGTTAAAGACAACTAACGTACATGTTGGGTCGTAACACACTTGGCAATATACTGGAAGAGTGACACGCGCGTCTTCGTCGTTCGTAGTCGGCACCGTGGCACTAAATCAGCCCGAGTTACGCGCCGACTAATTGTGAACCACGTCCCTCCTCTTTGCCGCCCCCGTAGAAACCAAATATAACTAAACGGAGCGAAACTAAACGACTGGGCCGATTAACGTCTCCGTTGGCTGGCTACCACCGACAGCTCACACTCGCGACCCCTATTCTCGACTACACGTCGAAGGTGGGGAAAAGCTTCCCTTTCTTTCTTTTTTTTACCACGGTAGTATACTGGCGTAGATAAATAATCTCTCGACGAGCGCAAGAGAGAAAGAAAGAGAGAATCAACAGCGTGAAACACGACTTCGTTGTTCGTCGATGACGAAAGTTAGTTTACGACTTAATAACGCTGTTCCTCACGGTTCAGCCATAACGCAAGAGTATACGATTAAGCGAAAATTATAGTCTATGAAGTAAATATTCCGAACGGTGAATTTTTATACGAGTTATCGTTTTGTTTTGGTTTACTAATCACCGGTTGAACAAACAATAATTTTATTTTTATAATCGTTCTATACGACTCGACATTTTATCTTTGTCATTGGAACAATTGATCCCTTTCGAACATAAACACAGTTTACTTTGATTTTTCATATCGTGTCGTACGAGTGCAGGCTTGCACGAGAGACTGTATGCCCCAATAAATAGTCTTCGAGTGCGATCGGTATCGGCTCTGCTCCGTCTTTTATTTGTTTATGGCGCAGAAGTACTAGAAAGCGTATCTAAAATAAAGTTGTCAATCTGGAGAATAGAATTCTCGGAATGTCTACTACAACTAATAAATCTAGAACGCGCTATCGTTCGAATAATTACGAGCGCCATTGTACATCGTGATTAATCGCCGATAACATCAAGAAAATCGAACAACAGCTCCCCGATAGTACCTGCATTTTTGCGCGATCGTTATTGCGCAATTACGAGGCGTTACTTCCGCGCAAATTGAGTTAATCAATTCAGCGTTATATCTGTCGAGGGCAATGAAAATGTTTTAAAAGAATTATATAGACCATGATAAAGCATTATCATAATCGTTTATTTACCATAAAAATATACTTAACGCGTAGGTAATAGTTTCTTTGTTTCACAAATATCAAATGTTTGTCACTATGTAAAGTCATTCTCAATGGGCTACGAAAGTTTGTAGAGTAAGGTAGTAAAAAATTCTTCGAACAACATAATTTCCATGGAGGGGTTCTAAGAGTTTCGATGACACTGTTAGTTGGCCAAAATGTTCGTCCAATGAGTTAGTAAAAATAAAGTCTCGTTTATATTTGAACGAGGCTGGTAATTCCGTGTAGCGGGCCGATTTCCCCGATAATGCTGGCCTTAAATAAACCGCGCGGAATAGTTTCTTAATCTACGATGGGCAAACAGATCGGTTACCTATTTGGTCGGCTGACCGGAGAACACGTGTAAAGAGCTACGAATGGCCATAGGAGGATAAGCTGCCAACCCTGGAGGAGGGTGGCCGGAGCGGTTTGTTTGTCAGGGCAGTCCCCGAGGAAAAGCGTACGCGCCGCCGTGATGTCGCGTTATCGTCGATGCCTCCTAGGCAAACAACATCTGAACACGGAACATGGACTCCGTGCAATTTATCACGATCCACGTAACTTGACAACTATGCTGGAGAACTCGAGAAAATGTCGTTTGGAAGTTCAAGCTAACACGCCTTGGCTCGCGAAGGAAGCTTTCTTCGGAACGATCAACGTTTAACAAAGTAGAAATCGTGAAATAAACACTTCAGACTCGTTTTTATATCGTAATTTTTATTATAGGAAATTTGACAAAAAGAAATAAATTTGAGTGACCAGTAATAGAAAATGTACCCCTTGCAAAAATTTCTCATAGAACAGCAAAATAGAAAAAGTGTATTTTAGTGGATCATATTCTTATTTCTCAGATATGAAAAAAACACAATTCTTAATAATAGTGAGATGGTTGATGAACAGTTTCGAAAGTAGTTTGAAACCATCGCGAGTGAAACGAATCGAGTTCGACGTCCATCTCGCATCCTATTTTTGAAAATAGGACGCGATCGGTATTACTGATTTCAGAGATTCCTTTCGAAAGATTTCGAAATATGGCTGGGAATATTTCGAGTTCCGAGAAACGCTGAAAATATTGGAATCGGTGGAGGAAAAGTTCGTGTTTACTTTCCCAGTTCGTGGACACGGTTTCATCTTCGAGTTCCTAAAATAATAAACTACAGCACGGTAAATACTAAGCGGTCTTCGACGCAATTGCTTCGTTTAGCTTCTGTTCTTCGCGTACGATCGTAAATATCCCGGTGATCCTGTGAATATCGGATAACCGGGGAATCACGTTATTGACGAACGACATAATGTTTCGGTGGCTACTAAAAATGTATCGTTCGTTGCTTGTTTGATAAAACCGGCGAACGCTGCTCGAACTTCCTCGTTCCGACGCGTGTGTATTATTTCAAGATTAGAGTTAATCTTATAATCTACATCCTGATCCGACACACGCTATTTAAGCGACCTACTCAACCAGTGAAATTTATAGACCGCCATTTCTCACGTTTCAATATCTTGCTCCACGCCGCGCTAAGGCGATCCTCTCCGCGTAAGGCTCTTTTCTCCGCGAAACTCCATCATTTTGTAGAGAAACGCATACAAATATTGAAATCCATGACTGACCGAAAAAATATGAAAATTAATGGAGAAAAACGCTTAACCCTCTGATCGCCAGACCAAATCCCTGAAACTATCCACGAAACAGAAACTTTGTTTTTAGACAATTGTCTTATTCTAGATTTATTTTCTTCGACATCCAATTTTGAGAATTTTTTTATTTCGTAAATAAAACGACATTCTCAAGTTACTTTTGATGAAATTTTTAAACGCTATCTGTGCAAGAAATCGTTAAAATCGTCTAGAAATAATCGTTTAGAGCGTGTATGGCACTCGAAGACAAAGGGCTGCTGTTATGAAGCTTTCCTATTTTGTACGATATAACCTCGAATGTAGTTCCCACGAGATCCCCTGCAGAGTTCTCAGAGGCTTAAGATGTCGTATCGTTTGACGGTCGTAGTGTTCGCTACTACGGATTCGTGGC